ATATAGAAATTTGTTAGATAGCCTCTATTTCTAGATAGTTCGTCCCTTTCTAGAAGAACCAATTCTGACCGGCCATCATACCAAATAGAGGCCCAGATTATAATTGGAATATTCTTTCTTTCTTTCTTTCTTTCTTTTTTTTTTTTTTTCTGCTTTTCTTTTTCTCCTCGGTTACCTAATCCCTAGGGCATGCCCCAGTAACTCCACACATTGCTTTTCTGACAGGTACGAGTAGTTAGGAATGTGTCACTGTGCATGTGCTTGGACCAATTAGACAGATGATGGGATCGATTCTAACAATTAATGTAATCAAAAGAAGGGGTTGCAGAATATTTTCCATCAACTACTAACGTACACTCACTGTTTAGATATCTAAATGCCTACTTCGGCAAATTCGCGGATGGAAGGAAGTGGCTTCGAACCATGTTTTACGTACGAGATACAAAAACCTAACAAGTCAGTCTGGTTGCCATATTGTCGACCGTAGCCTAATCTACGGTGATCTACTCTGGAGTTCAAACAAGGAAAGAAGCGCAAACCGACATAGGCTCCATGCGGCTGTGTTGAAACCGCAGGCGTATATTAACAGATGATGCAGGTCAAGTATTGGAAGTCGTCCTTGGCTCTTCAGTAACACCCCCTATTGCTCTTCTCGACTCGAAAGTCCCGCTGATTACTATACTTGTTTTGCCTTATCTACCAGTCTCTACTGATCAGTCGTTCTCCTAGCGCATAACTCATCCGCTACGAGTAGCCCTGGCAGTTTCCTTGCTGATCTTTGAAAGGGATGTTCAAGAAGATACTATTTGACCCTATAACGACTGATGTTATGCCCCCTTTTTTGGAGGCTTCGTCTATGACAAAAATAGTCGATTGTATTAATCTAGGTTACATGATTTTTCAATCATAGTGTACACCCACATTGCAAGCGGCGTTTTCGCGCAACAAACACGGAGCGATTTTATCCTCACCTATACTAGGAGACACTGCATTGCTTGGGCAATTCAGAGATCCTCGTCTTCCCAGACAAAATTCTATGACAATTGATGTGCGACGCCTTGGCTTCATCCCACTTGCTGACACGGCTAATGCTAAACATGCAGATAACACTGAGATATCGTTAACTAGCGCCCTTCAGCCAGCTACGGTGTAAAAGGTTAACTATGCCGTTGTGGTGTCTCTAGTTATCTCCATTGTCATTGGGCTAAGTTTTCCACCATGGAATTATCGATTCATCCTCGTCTTGTAAGGGTATTGGTGTGAAAAAAGCGGCTTCTTCCTTTTTTTTTTTTTTTTTTTTTTTTCGGGTACGTTACCAAGTACCAAATTATCAGTCTCGGCGGGGGAACAATGAGATAGCTGCTCGCAAGAACTGATGGTAAAAGCCGGTTACGCAAGATAGGCCAGGTAGTAGCAATCAAGTCCTGTGGTCGATGACTTTTGTTGTAAATGAATTGCTGTTTCGGGCCTGAACTTGATATAATGATATGTTAAGTCAATGGGATCGTTATGTAGTAGTGTCATTGTACCAGGCTTTGCGTAAGTACCATAAATAACATATATATATATATCGTGATGAGGTTTGGCTATCCGTTGAACTATCTATGCGCGGAATGATCTCCCCGTGTGTCGCCTAGAGACCCAGCGTCGATCTACTTAATTTATCAATCCCTCGCAAATGTTTTACTATCACTAGATCAGGTCCATTGTCTTTCTCACACGACTTGCCAAATCAACCCAAGGTATCCCTATCTCACATTTTGTCTTATGTACATTGACTTTGTAGGGGAAACTTGAAACATGAATAGATGAACGTAAAGAGGGCTTATGATGGAACCTTAGTGGTTTAACTATTATCCAATAGCATGCTAAGAATGATGCTAGCAAACGTCTTTCAAACATAGCGTCCTTGTCCTGGCTGCGAAGTCAGTGCCTTAGGCATAGCATGTTTCAACCTCGGTTGAAAGTGACAAGACCACTGACTCCCCACCTCTCGTTGGATTGATCTGAAGCATTATTCATGCGTTATCGAGAGCCTAGCAGATGCAGCCCTGAAGGATACCGGTAGTGAGTCATTGCCCCCTCTCTACGTTTTGACCTTTGCTACGGCCTCCAATGCCCGTTGAAACCGACAGCGGAGATCAGACACATCCTCTAAGCCAACGCTTATCCTTACCAGGTCAAATTCTACGCCAAAAGAGCTTGCCTAGGAAGGAGTGTTAGAGATGGACGGGGTGATAACAGGAGAGAAAATTGAACAGAATGACATCGACATACCCATCCTAGCTCACCGTAGTGAGCTAATAAGGTGTAGGGAGAGCTGAGTTTTAAGTTAACACAATCCCCCCCAGGCTGAATAATTCGTGCAGTAATACTAACCTTAAAGTAAAATTGGTACCGAGACTGGGGCCTTTGAGGACTTCCAGGTGATCAAAGAATGCAACAGCTTGGGCTGTTGAGTAGAAAGTAACAGAGAAAAGACCACCGTAGCCACCATTGGGGTGGCGAAAGGCTTCGTATAAGGGCCTTGAAGGGTTGCATTTGGGGTAGAAGACGTTTTTCACTATGTCCCAAGTCAGACGCATGGTATTAAAACTGGAAAGAACGGAAGAACACCTACCAAGTGATGAGCCCTTCAACATTTCTGTAATCTCTTCGGTGGTGCTATTGATCTTCTCGATTCTTGACACAAAATCGCGGCTATTCCTTTCCAAGAAAATTGCGTCTTCAGCCCAAAGATTATCCTCATAGTCGCGGGCAAAAGTGTCTTTGAGAGATGAATAGTAACGTCCATGTGGATTGAGCACAGCACTACCCCCCATGACGTTACTGTCTCCGCTGAAGATTTTTGTTAGACTGCTGACCACAATATCGGCATAAGGCAGCACATTGATGTTGAGGAAATTCCCCACTGTCTCGTCCACAACCACTGCAAAATCGTATTTGTCTGCGAGAGAACGGATGCGCTTGAGATCTGGGGACTTAAGCAATGGATTGCCAGGGAACTCGGTGAAGACTGCGAGGAACTTCTCCCCAGAGTCTAATCGCGCCTCTAAGTCGTCAATGTCCTCGGACGAGCCATTTCCATAGAATAAACAACCGGGCCCCCATTTTTCAAGAGTTTTCAACGTGTCGATGTAAGGAAAACCAAAACATATGCTCTTCATCGTACCTCTGGCGGCTAACAACGTCTGATGGGAGTTAAAAATCGAGCTCATACCAGTGGGAAAAAGGAACACATCAGATTCTGTTAACCCTGCTACTCTTCCCTCCCCAGACGTCTTTTTGAGGGCCTCACTCAATTCCACATCCGCTTTTAGGACACCTGCTATACGTCTGCGCACAGCTCTTTTAGCTTGGTCCGCTAGGGAAGTATTCAAGTTCCGGCCAAAACGCTCTTCGATGAATTGGATGTGTTCTCGCCCATCCTGAACACCATCCGTGGCCATCGGCGACTCTGTCGGTGAGGGATGTACCCCACCAGCCCGAAAAGCACTATTTACTGTGTCTTTTCCCTGGTATCTTCGCGGGCCCTTACATATCCGCTGGGCTACAGGTTCTGTCGTAGTAGATTTCTTTTCCACAAGGAAACCGTCTCTCAATGCACTGTGACAGAATTCACCTCGACGGCTTGACACACCATTGCCCGTATGCTGCCATACTTGCTTTGCAACTGATCCAAGTTCCTTTGGATATATCACGCTTGACAAGAACGAAGTGACGTGTGCTGACTCGGCTTTTGTACGTGGTGAAGGAATAAAATCTACAACACGCACGCTATGCGAGACGCCTGCAGATGATCTCGACAGGATAAATGAACGACAAATATGCGCAGTTTTGGCGGAAGGAAACAACATGGCGGACTCCGTGTTCGGATTTCCGTAGCATTGCACGACCTCTTTCGCAAGTTCTTGAATGATCGGGTGTACGAAGAATCGAGGGTAACCGCATTGCATCTTACTTATAACCCACGGCTCTCCTTCTTCATAACCGATACTGGCTTTCCATGTTGGAAGTGATACACTGACTGCCTTTGCTTCCATTAGTGATATGAGCCATTTTGTGCGCAGGCCTAGGTATCGTGGTTGTGAGGAGTATATTATAAGGATACTTATGATGGAGTACTTCATTTTGAGAGCGGCAAAGGCTAGCCAGGGTAGGGAAAAGGCCGCGGGGTAAAACATACATGGTCAGTATTAGGAGGTACAGGGCCCCCGATGTCCTGGAGCATTATGAGCGTGGAGGTTGATCGAAGATTTAGGGGTAAAAAGTCTTTTTTCAGACAATTAAGGCAATTGTGAAGAGAAGGTAACAACAGCACGATATAAGAAACAGACGTTAAGAATGTTTCATGGTCGCGAAAGCCTTCTGTTAAAAGTATTAAAGGTATGAATCATACCCACTTACGAGCGACTTCGGCGATGTCTAAGAAGAAGCTGGCCAATAACATTCCATTCTGATGGAACCCCCTCCGCTAGAAAACTGGTTGTTCTCTGGTAGCATAATTTCTTAGATATTGGAAATTTCAAAGCGGAGAGAAGCTCACCGCCTACGGGCAAGCCATTGCGGCCAACGCCCATTAACTCATTTTTCTATATTTTTAACTTGTTTCTGCTGGCAGAATAGTCTACTATACTGAATCTACTTGATTTACTTAGTCTGCTTAATCTGCTTCGCCTGGCTGAACTGCGTGATCTGCGTAGTCTGTAGTCCGCTTAGTTTACTTGATCTAATTATATAGTCGCATGACTGTGAGCTATTAACCAATTCGAATTCAGACTTGGTATTAACGAATCAACGGCGGTCAGCTAAGCGGTGAAAGAGCGATGGAGAAAGGCCCAAAAAACCTGAAAAATATAGAGAAATGAATTAATGCGTGTTGGCCGCAATGGCTTGCCCGTAGGCGGCCTAAGTTGTATAATTTTACAAAAATATATTGAAACAGCTACATATAAGAGATACCAAGCTTAGAACCTAGTTATATTTTTATTCAAGTTTTCAATTCGCTAGTACTAGATTATAATCAAGATATACAGCTCATCCAACATAACTGCCTATGATAACCTAAGACGAGTCGATACACCCGTAATATGATAGTAATACCTGTACTCCGTACTGAGACCGGTACATCTTCATGTCTAATGATTAGTCAAGCTTAAAAGCGCGCTACTAAATGACCATGTTTTTGCATACAGTGGACCGGACTGGAGATACATTACCCTGGTACTGGATGTATGCAATAAATACTATGCTCCAGCATCAACATGAGGAGAAAGGTATTGAATATCTATATATAGAAATATTGTCTTAGCTGTATTATGTGCCTTCTTACATGAACATAAGATGTTCCTTCATCCAAGTATAGTGCTTGTTAACTTCCCGGTAATATAATGGAATGCACACTATCACAGTATTGGTATTTCTGTATCTGTACCCTGTACTTACAGTTTTTGGGGAGGGGGGGGCGCAAAAAATTGGAATACTTCCAATATGGTATAGTGTACTCTGTATACTCTAGACAACCACCCACTGTTATAAGGAATTTCTGTTGGTGTAAAATATTTACATCGCAGGTTATTGGTTCTTACCCAGGTGTTAACAGTGATGCACATGCCACTGCACTATCGCGAGATGATCCAAATGTTAATTACCTCCAACTGTATGTGAATTGTATTTGGTGACCAAGTTACATATCACGTGACTATATCGGAGCTCGGTGTTTATTTTACCTTGCCGTTATCGTCTTAAAGAAAAAAAAAATTACACACTGTATCGCAGACACTTAGTTTTGCTTTTCTTCATCCACAAATATTGGAGGCACCTCTTCGTCCTTCCCCCTCTTCCCTCTCTCTAGCTAGTCCGCTTTTTATCGCTCACTCTTCCGCAGCCTGTATCTTTGGGCATGTCGGCTCATACAGCGAAGAGGAGAAAGCTCAGCCCATCTCCGCAAATAACCCAGAGAGCTGAGCAGTCAAATGCGTCAAGTTTGAATAATTCCTCAAACATAGCTAGAGATGAGCCTTCAAGTATGGATGGTTTGACTAGACGCAGAAAAATTGACCACTCTGCGGAGCTTGCGCTGGCTAGCGGCGTCTACAAGTCTAATTTTTTCAAGTTACAGTTAGATGAACTTCTCACTGAATCAAGACCAAACTATGACAAGCATCTGTCAAAGCTTCAGGATACTCTCCATAAGCTGAAGGAAGTCATTGAGCACATTCCCGAAAGACCCCCGAAGCCCGTCGTTGAAGCCGAGAAGGAATTCCGCAGCACACATGGCATTATCGTTCCATACCCCGAGCCACGTCCAGGGAAAGATACAAAGTACACTGTGTCATATAGCAAGCCAACAAACGTCAATGTGGTAGGGAGTTTTGCTCTTAGGACAGGTGTCAGAACTTCTGAGCCTTACACTGTTGATTTGGCAGTCACGATGCCAAGCACTGTTTTCCAGGAGAAGGATTATGTCAATCATCGGTTTTTCCATAAGAGGGCATACTATATCGCATGCCTTGCTGCTGGAATTAAAGATATTGAAAATTTGAACTTTGATGTCAAGTTTGCACAGCAGGACGGAGATAATCTTCGCCCCCTTATTCTCCTAGAACCTACAGACTCGGCTAAGAATGGCTCTCAATCCACGAGATCGCAAATTCGTATCTTCACCGCGATTGAAGATACTTTGTTTCCCATTGTTCGTACTCTTCCTATGAAGAATAACGTGCGTCAAGGTTCACCGGACCAGCCTGAACATCGTGCGCCTACTCCTTTTTACAATGCAGCTCTCCGTTCCGAAGCTACAGTGGCACCCTTTCACAAACTCCTGCACTCGACAGCCCAAATATGTGATTCTTTTAAGGATGCATGTATCCTTGGACGGATATGGCTCCGTCAACGTGGATTTGGATCTTCTTTCCAAAAAGGTGGGTTTGGAGGATTCGAGTGGACTGTTTTAATGTCACTTTTATTTGAAGGAGGCGGCTTCAACGGCAAGCCAATACTTCTGAAATCGTATAGTAGCTATCAGCTATTCAAAGCGACCATTCAGTTTCTTGCAGGAAGGAATCTGCTAAATCCGCTTTTACTTTTCGCCTCTGATATTCCTTCCCCTCCCGGTACGCCTATGTTGTATGATGGGAAAAGGGGGCTGAACGTACTTTATAAAATGGCACCATGGTCCTATTCACTCCTTCGCCATGAAGCAAACATTACTCTCAGGATGTTGAACGAGTCTCGTGATGATAACTTTGACAAAGTCTTCATTTACAAAGTGAACGAACCCATGCTTAGGTTTGATCGACTCATCGCACTGCCAGTGCCTGACTCAGGCACTGTTCTTCAAACCATTCGTAATCACAATGCCATTTATGAGGTTCTTAAGACAGCATTAGGCGACAGAGCGGAGCTTATTTACTTGTGCAGCCATGGCGCCGAACCTTGGTCTGTGGAAAGAAAATTCTCGCGCAAAGCAGCGAGTGCAACCATTCATGTTGGGCTGAACTTGAATCCTGAAAATGCTATGCGAGTCGTTGACCATGGTCCATTCGCTGAACAGAAAGAGGAAGCGGCAACTTTTCGGTCTTTCTGGGGAGAAAAGGCCGAGTTAAGACGTTTCAGAGACGGTACTATTCGAGAGAGCTTAGTCTGGTCTGACCAGCCGTCCTCTCCCTCTATAGTATATCAACTTTTGGTGTACATCCTCCATCGTCATTTCAATTATGCAGAAGACGAGATCGGTTATATCGGCGACGAATTCGATAAAAAACTATGCAATAGCGGGGATGGAATATTCTTGTATTCTAACCCTGCATTTCAGTTGGTCACTGATGCTTTTAACTCTTTGGAGAGGTCTTTTCAAAGATTGGAGGAAGTGCCGTTGACTGTTAGGCAGCTGGCTCTGGCTAGTCCACTTGGTCGATACTCTGCTCTTCGTGTCCAGAGTGCTTCTGGCCTCATTCGCGATCCGGTGGATATTGTTCTCCAGTTCGAAAGTTCCTCAAGGTGGCCGGATGATTTATTGGCTATCCAGATGACAAAAGTGGCTTTTCTAATTAAGATAGGTGATTCGTTGGTGTCATCTGGAAACGCTTCGTCATGTAAAGTTGGCCTAGAGAACGAATTAAGTCGAACGCTAAACAACGCTTTTTTGGACATATCCCACACGTCGGGTGTGATATTCCGGCTAAGGATTCATCATGATCGGGAGCAGTTATTGCTAGAACGCCAGCTGAAGGAGAAAGGGGCGAGCCTGCAAGCAAAGCAAGAAGCTGCATACACCTTATCGGCGTACAAACGACTTTTCATCCAATCTCCTCGTCTGACCCAAGCAATTCGTACCCTATGCACTCGATTTGCCTTATTATCACCTACGATTCGCCTTGTCAAACATTGGTTTAATTGCCACCTATTTACTGGCCACGTTAATGAAGAACTAATCGAGTTGGTGGTGGCTCGGGTTTTCACTCAACCATACCCGTGGGATACTCCTTCCAGTGTTATGGTCGGCTTTTTAAGGACTCTCCATTTCCTTTCGCGCTGGGACTGGCAGCAAGATCCATTAATTGTCGATCTGGGTGGAGAGCTTGATCAGGATACAATTAAAGCAATACGTACTCGCTTTTCTGGATGGCGAAGTATCGACCCTGCAATGAATACTGTTGCTTTGTTTGTGGCTTCTGATATAGATCCCGACGGAGTAACCTGGACACATTACGAAATGCCTCCAAAGGTAGTCGCAGCTCGGATGTCCATGTTGGCGAAGGGGGCTGTAAGGTTGGTACGGGAAAACGGGCCTACCCTTGATGTTTCCGACTTATTCCATACATCATTGGCACCTTATGATTTCATCATCAATTTGCGCTCGAAAAGCCTGCATGATCGACCAACGTCATTCTTAAAGTACAAGAACTTGAATGAGCCCGGCAATAAGGGCCAGGCCGCCGAACTCAAAGTCCTGAGGTCCTTTGTCCGCGATTTGCAGGCTTGCTTCAGCCCAAATATCCTCTTCTTCCATGGCGATGATCATTGTGATGTAGTTGCAGGGCTCTGGAACCCACAGACAACAAAACCGAAGAGCTGGAGCCTGAAATTGACATACTCGTCATCCCCGTCGACGTTGGATGGTGCTAGAAAAGAAGATGGTGAAGTTACGATCAATCGTGATGCTATTCTCAACGAAATATGGAGGTTAGGACATGGTCTAGTCGATAGCATCGAAGTCTTTGGCACTGAGTAGAGCTCATATAAATTATCGGTATATTCTCATGTGTACAATATGGAGAGCGTCTTTGCAATGCAAGCATTCGAGATCTAAACAAGCAGCGGGCAAGGGGAACAATACGCGCGAACAGAGGGATGAAGCAAAACGTATAATATGGAAACAGAAACGCCAGTAGCATTTAATATTACACCACGTACGGAGTATCGTTCTTTGTTTTTAACCTATGGCCCAGTTGGTTTCTCAGGCTTCTCTAGATGCGTCTGAGATGAAACTGAGCAAAACTTGTCCTTAATCGCCACAACCTCGTAAGTTCCTTCGTCCGAGGTTTTGATAGTCTTGATATGTTCGTAAGAAATGTCATGCTTAATGTCAAGTATTTCCGCCTTCTTCCCCCTGCGGGCGATTGAGCTACGGATATATCTAAAAGATAGTTAGTACTCAGATGCTTAGTGGTAGATAATAAAGGGCAGGGACAAACGCACGTGAACTCAAACGGTGGCGTCCCCCAGAACTCGAACTGAAGTTCTGCTTCTCCACCTTCGTGTATATCAACAACAGAGGTTTGGCCTCTGCTGATTCTAACACTTGGCATCTCGTGGATGGTTTTCGTTACGTTTTTGTGCGCTTTGCATTTGCCACTGGCACCATCGCTTAAAGCGGTGATGGTGAATACACCAGGTCTCTCCGCGATGCGGCGGAAATTTGTTGTCCGGGAAGTAGCTTTTCTGGCAACCCCATCAAATGTATAGAATACCTCAAATGGTGCATGCCCTGAAAGCGAGAAAGAAAGCCGTTCACCAACGCAATAGTCGGCCTTGGATTCGAGGGGTATTACGGTAGGCACGTCGGAGACTGCAACCCTCACCGATGAGGCGCCATATTCAGTAGCCCGCTGGCATCCACGTGCGTCTCTGACCTTGTGAATGCTGACGACATGCTGGCCTAGGTCCAGATGGCGCCGTGGTATGGGAAGCATGTGTCTATTTGAAATGATATTCGAGATTGACACAAGTTCCGGCTTTGCTTTCGAATGATGTTTTATGGATATTTCAAGGGAAAATGGCGGGACGCCATCCAAAGTGATGGGAATCAATTCTTCGCCGCTGACATCTTCCTTGCAGAAACCGTAGATACGGCCAGGAGCATCAAATCGCGCCGATGGCAAAGGGTTCACCTTCTGCGTCACAATCACCGGGTTGCTTCTGGGGTCATGGTCGTAGAGATTGTCACCGATTTCCGTAAACGTATACGTGTAGAGTCCAGCCTCTGAGGTATCCATTTCCATGGAAGCCGCGTGAAGGACTGTCCTCAGATTTTGCAGTCGAACAGATGGCGAACCACGAGTAATCTTGCGTTGTTGTTCGTATTTTATACTGTATGGCGGACTACCTGAGAATCGAAGCTCGAGATTGTCATTTTCTCCTTGGCAAACGTCGCGTTTCTCTTTGTGCCCGCCTACTCCTATGGGAGAACCGTCCACGGCAATTATCCGCGGGCGAGGTATCCAGGAAATCTCAAATATCTTGGCAGCTTGGTCAACAGATCCAGGACAGGAAGCATCAGTTACTCCGAGGAGTTCATAACGCCCCTCGTGTCCCACAGCCAGAGCGCTGTTCTCCTGCCAGAATGTCTTCTCAACGACTAGAGAATCATAGCTTGTTTTGTACTTCAAAGTCCATGGTCGCTCACCACTCAATCTGAGGGGAATATCGACTTTAGAGCCCTGTAAGGCAGAATATTTCCTACTTTTCTCGATCTCCCCGAAAGATACGTGTGGCGGTTTTGGTCGAGCGTCGATCTGGATACTATCCTTCAAAATTCGTTTGCAGTTTGACCGGTCTTTGACACTCGTTAACACAACGTTGTATTCGCCGCCACTGACGAGCTTTTCGGTCACGATGCTCGACACCTCACTCTCTGTTTCCAAAACGTACTTGGTTTTCTTGCCATTATGAACAAGTTCGTACTGCAAAGTCCATGGCGCTTCACCAAGCAAGGCTACATCCACAGACACAGGTTCACCGAAGCAAGCCTTCCGCACCTCTCTAGACCCAAGGAAATGAGCAGAAGCAGGAGGCTTAACGTGTTGCTCCAGAACGGGGGCCTTATCTTTGAGAGGTCGCGGGGCGTACACTGTGTCTGCGATATCTAAGAAGCGATAGCGGTAGAAACCCGCTTCAGACGGAGTGAGGTCCAGCTGAGTCCGCAACCCCTCAATCAACTGGGTCTTGGTCTCAATTCCTTTGGAATGTTCAACGACGTACCGGAGCCGGAACGGTGGGGATCCAGTCAAATCTAAATCGACCAACAAGCCGACAGGGTTGTTTGCGCATTTGTCAAAAATCTTTTCATACTTGACAGCCAGCTCAGGTTCGGGAGGGTTATGTAAATAACAGGACGATGGTTCCAAGATTTCGCCCGAGCAGAATTGACTAGAAATAGCATCCAAAACATACCACCCTGGATCTCTTATTTGAGGTTTTTGGCCCAGACTCTTCAAAGACAGCTCTCGGACTTTACCAGGCATATTGCCAGCAGTGTCGTGATCGTTGTTGAAAGAATATATGATAGAAAAAGGCCCATCTTCGTCATACCCTTGACCCGACTGGTGAAACTTGACGGGCAGGTCCACACTGTCCCCTCGTGCAACTTCTATGAAATGCTGATCATTGCATCCAGACAAAGATAACCGGGGTCTTTCATGGACAGAGAACTGATGCCATTGGGACAAGGATTTTGTGGGCAGTCGATCGACCTCATCCAAAAATGCTGTATAATTAGCAACGTTGCCACAGCCATCATGTACTTCTTCAATCGCATAAAGCCACTCCCCGCCGAGGTTTAGCGACTCATTCAACGGTACTTCAATGATTTGGCTCTGGGCCCAAGCAACGTCTGGCTCTGGCGAACTAAAAAGGGTACCAATATTCCTCTGACCCAGTAACGGTGACCGTAAGTAATCTGGTTGGATATTCTGAAAAGAGAAGCCCCGGTCACGATGATTCACTTGTCTGCTGTACTTGATCTTCAGCGGCGGTGTGCCCTCGACCGTCAGGACCAAATTAGACAGCTCGCCTCTACACTTATGGGTGTGGGAACTTTTAATCGATGCTCGAGGACATGATACAACAAGTGCATCAGACCTTCGCATACGAACGTCAAGATTGGACTCATCTACTACCCTTTGGAGACGGTATATACCTGGTCGCCGAATCGGAAGTAGAAGGTCACGGTGCAAATCGGTGTCAGAACCATGGTGATTCTTGCCTGCCTGGCGTTTCATCTGCTTCAGCTGCTTTGAAGAAATCGTTATCGTTTCATTGCCGCCGCTAGTAAAATCTAAGCGGAATAACTCTATCAAGATAGGATCGGTCTGGTTGATCCGAATGGGCAAATTGACAGTGGTTTTTTCTGAATCTATACAGAGAGGTGTCTGATCTGGATTCAGCACGGCAGATCTAAGATCATTAGTACTTTGGACTGAAAAGCAAGAATTTGCGGGAATCGCACCCTTCGGGCAGTATATGAACTATTTGTTTTCCCAGTATGAGTGAGGCATTATGAATGATATCAGCTGGCTTAACACTCCGTTCTGATATCGACAACTCTCTATCGTAGGCTAATTTGACTATTCCTGATACCCAGGCACCGATTGGGATCTAGTCAAAGTTAGTAAGTCTGACCATTGTTATGGGAGGGGCCTCCACATACCGGAATCCGAAACATGAGGAATACATTGCCAACTACATGTATCAGGAAAATCGCAAGGGTTGTAGGAAAAGCCCATTCTAGCCAGGGTATGCGCAAGGCCTGAAGCCCGAAAAGGAACACTCCATCAATACAAGCCCACTTCAGAAATAGCCAGGTTGCATCTAAATCATCCGAAGCTTTCCAAGATTCATAAAGTCGCCAAGCATTGAGCGCGACATAAAAAGCCACTATATAAAGTCGTTGCGATGGTGCATCTATCAGCTCAACTGGGATAAGTGGCAAAGTCGCATCTTGGGCTGTCGGCGATGCCTTTGAGGAGGACTGTCGCAGTCCTGTATCACGCTGTTTGGGTTTAGATGGAGAGGTGTAGAAGGCTCGCGATTTCTGCGACGTCTGGGGAGTCTGAGGGAAAGCAGACCGAAGTCGGGGAGTGTCATTCATGGCATGCTGTGATCGCGGGGCACCCACGGTCTACTGATATCACCTATACAATCAGTCAGCATATCTGGGAATGCACAAAACAACAAACTACTCTTCACTATTATAGGGCCCAAGCGCTGATACAAGCGTACCTTCAGTAGAAAAGAGGTCCTCTATCTCTTAGCTGGTCCGGGAGGGCAAAAGGTCCTTGCACTTTTGTGATACCTTGTGTTAGGTACAGATTCCGTACAAAGACCTTCTTTTACCTGTCGCCACCCACTGAAAATCGATCTCAAAACCGACTTGAAACGCTAAGTCGGCTAAAGCACAAATAAAAAGAGAAGGCAGAAGGGGGGAAAAAGATTACTGTGCAAGAACGAAAGTCCGGCAATAATCTTCAACGCGTGGAGTCGCGTGCGAGGTAGCTTCAGCCAATGAGAAAACGGAAGCAACGGTATGGGCAACGGTATGGGCGGTCAGGCCAACCTATGGGTAGCCAAAACTTTAGTAGTACATACCTATCAAACGCTAGCCTGGAGTACTTGACGACTTTAACCTGTCAGCTATAGACACACGTTGTCCTCGGTAGTGTTATCAGGATTTACAAGCACCAGCCCCCTTCCTTTTCTCTCCCCTTTTCTGTTTTGGCGCCATTGGTTGTTGGTTTATATCGTCTTATCCTTTAGCTATCTAGTCGTCTTGATCGCTTCGTGACATAAGCTCTCTCCTTAACCACCCCTCATTTATGACGGCGGGCAGCATAGTAACGCTTCTTTTACGATAACCTAGCCTACCTAATGATAATATATCTAACATATTCCAGACCCTGGTACTTCATATTTGCATTGCATCTACGATCTCTCGAATCTTTGCATCTCAATACTCTCGAGGACATTGATGACAAGCATGGCTTTGGGTTTTGAACGACGACGGTTAAATAGTCAGCCAACCATGGCCAACCACTTAGATGACGCCAACGACCCATGTCGGCCAGCAACTGCGCAGGAGAAGGAAAGCTGGAATGGCTTTTGTGAGCTGGAGTCTGAGCCTGTAATTGCTATTATTGGTAATCGGTTTCCCTGTTTGTGCTAACCCTCTCTAAGGCTCTTTTCAATGTGATGCTGCGAGAGTTCGGGGTGAAAGGCGTCAAAGTGCAAGAAGTTGTATCACTAGATGAAGAGATGATGGCATTCTTGAAGTAAGGAATATTGAGCATGGTCACCGCTTTCTACTAACCGAAGCACCTTTGGCCGCATAGCAAGCCTGTTTATGGTTTGATCTTCCTGTTTCGTTGGAGGGAAGATGACCCCGAGAAGCAAGAAGCGAGCTGCCCAGAAGGGCTTTGGTTTGCAAATCAGGTCGGTTTGACTCATTGCCTCCAGCCTTTCTCTAACGCCACCGAGGAATTCGTTGCTGATAGTTTTAAATTAGACTGCCAGCAATGCTTGCGCTAGTGTGGCCCTACTAAATATCGTCAATAATATAGAGGGCATCGAGCTCGGGGATAACCTACAGCATTTCAAGGACTTTACGATGCCGTTTACTCCTGCGCTTAGGGGAGATGCGATCAGTAATTTTGATTTTGTCAAACGAATACATAATTCATTTGCAAGGTTGGATTTCGCTAACAAGCCTTTCATCGTTTCTTTTCGCTACGAGGAGTGTATCTGACCTTAAGTATAGGAAGATGGATATGCTCAATTCAGATTTTCAACTAAAACATGAGGCGACATCAAGGCGTTCTCGTTCAAGTAAGGGCAATCACGATGAATCTGAAATAGACGCAGGGTTCCACTTTATCGCGTTTGTCCCTGCGTTGTGGAAAGTCTGGAAGTTCGATGGCCTGGAACGCCAGCCCCAGGCACTCGGTACGTGAAGGACGGCATGAGAAGCCTATGGTACAAATCGCTGACGTGAGTCACAGGACACTGTACCCCCGATGAGGATTGGTTGGGCATGGTAAAACCGCACCTTATCACCAGGATGACTGAATATGAAGAAGATCAGATTGAATTCTCAATCCTCAGTCTCGTTAGGGACCCGCTTGTAGACCTTATTGGTAAACTAGCCGTCAATATAAAGTGTCTGGAGATGCTTAATCAGCGCTTAACTACCCAAGCTTCTGCAGTGGCCCACCCAGAATTGCCTCTTGCAAGCTCTATCCTTGAAAACACTATTCTGGGGCCGGACAAGTCCTTTGATATGACAAGGGAGTCTATCGACCAGGCTATTGTTCCGGTGGTATTAGAGAGGTACAATTTGTTGTCCACGCAAGAAATCGTCGAGTTCAAACAGAAGCTGTGCAATGAACAGCAGGTGTTACGAGCTGCGATTCGGGACGAGCAGCAAACCCAGCGGGCGGATGACGACTATGCGGCGGGGAGGAGGTACGATTACGGGCCAGCTATAAGAACATGGTTGCGATTCCTGGCCCGGAAAGGAGTGGTTGAGAGTTTAATACCAGTGGGAGAGGTATGATACAGCGAGTGGGTTGTTCAATGTGGGAGTGTCTTTCTTACCGTCGACGATAGGTCATTTACTGGTAATGGTAATATGGTATCAAATGAAATGGTAGGCCAGAACAGGAAAAGCCCAAATTTGTTACTAATGTACCATCACGCCTAGAGTAGTTAGATTAAAACGAAGAAGATGGTCAAAGGAAAAACGAATGAAATTGTAATGGAAATGGAAGACACTGCTCTGATGGTGGTTCGATGAACCTTGACTGGGAAGACCTCGTGATGCGCCGATTGGTCGTCATCTAATTCTTTCCCTTGAATGTATTAACCTAAAGTCAACTATGAAACTCTAAAACCGGTCTACTGCGTAGTACTATTTAATCGATGCATAACTACCTAATTCCTGAGCTGCCGTTATGTATGACAAATGTTCTACATGCATTGTGAAATACTTAGATTGTAATATCTACTTATTCCTGACTGCTAATCTGGTATCCAGATTGCTTAGAACAGAATCTCTCTTTATAATTATTGCTTGGTGCAAATGATTTATTCTATATTGGTAATACATCTAAGAGCATTTGTTCCTTATTCATCTTTTTATTACTCCCCTGAAATACTGTAACGGTATAAGCAGAATACTTAAGATACATACTTTGTACTGCAGTGTACGGAGTACTAGTAGTAATAACCCAGGGTGGTGTTTATTCCTTAACCAATGATCAATCAAGTGTCGGTGACGTACTGTCAAGGCAACCGAAAGAAAATACAAAAACGTCACCGCCTCTAGAAATCGTCAACATAGAACTTTCGTCGCCGTTTTGTTACAGCCCGAATTCTCATTTAGGGGTCTCGTTCCTTTTGTTCTTTGCTTCTTCTTCTTCTTCTTCTTCTTCTTCTTCTTAGGTCCCCGTGGGTTGAGACTTTAGCTGGTTGCTTATCCTGATAACCATCCTTTTTCCGTGGCGGGGGAGCAAAGGCAATCCCCTTCCTTGCATTTGGTCGCCACACCGATTCTGCCTATCGAAAGACCTCTTTTATATATATATATATATATATATATCGCTGCTCTCCCCAGCCATATATTTACCTACTCACACATTCTCTCAATCCCAACCATCTAAAAACCAGATCTCGCTATGTCTCCCGCGACAGCATCGGATGCCACCGAAAAGACTCCTGACGACTCTTCCAAGTTAAAGACCTTCCTCTCTATTTTGAAGAAGTATGTATAGATGGCGATTTCGATTCTCATATTCTGGTCGATCCATACTGATTCGATGGCGCTGTGACTCTATAGGTTTGTTGGGGTCGCTGATATCGCATCTGTTCGCTTTTCGTTACCTGCCCATCTTCTAGAGCCGACGCCTAATTTAGGTAGGTTGTCGCCATGAGGCTACGCTGATGTCTACTTAACGATGTGATCACTGACTAAGTCGGGGATCTGGCAGAATATTGGAACTACTTGGACAGACCAGAGACCTTTGCAAGGTCAGCAAGGTAGCCTATCTTTCACCAGGGCTCGTTTTCTGACGGGAGAGTCACAGCATTGGTCAATCAGACGATCCGCTGGGCCGGACGCTTGAGATATTAAGGTTCTGGTTCACAAAGGACTTGGTACATTCCTCTGCGGTACTTCAGTTTTTTTCGAGAGACCAGTATACTAAAAGTTGTCATAGAAATACATCAAGGGCAAGCCGTGTAAGCCGTATAATTCTACCCTGGGTGAATTTTTCAGAGTGAGTTTGACTCCGTCACGAGTTTTCACATTTCTGCTTGAATATTGACTAACTCATACACATAAAATTTCAGGCTACTTGGGAGGTCGATGCAGCCCTCCCAGAAGTACAGGTACATTCTAAGCCAGGGGTAGCAAATGGAACCTGCACTGCGAAGGACGGCGATGCTGAAGCGGTCAAGGTATGCTACCTGACTGAACAGACATCTCACCATCCACCAGTATCCGCATTTTTCATCGACTGCCCGCAACGAGGGGTTTCAGCACGTGGCTTCGACCAAATTAGTGCCAAATTTACAGGCACAAGCATTCGCGTTGCTCCCGGTCAGCATAACCTGGGGATCTTTGTCAGAATCGCCCCAAGAGATAATGAGGAGTATCAGCTGACCCACCCTGCGGCCCATCTGGGTGGCTTGTTGAGAGGTGCACTGGCCATAACCGTATCAGATACGTGCTACGTAACTTGCCCAAAAACACGCATCAAGGTGATTTTACAATACCTGGAAGATGGCTGGATTGGCCGAGCTCAACACAGGGTCGAAGGAGTGGTCTTTCGATATGATCCCGACATGGATAACACGACGAAAATCAAAGATGTGCCAGAGAGCGATATTCTTGCCAGAATTAGCGGGTCATGGCACGGACAAGTCTATTTCACCCTAGCTGGGACAGGTGAGCCTCAGCTTCTAATCGATATCACCCCTCTTTTTCCAGCTACCAAGAGTGTGCCTCCCGAGGAGAGTCAACTGTCCAACGAGTCTCGCAAATTTTGGTCCAATGTTACCGAGGCGATAGTAGATAAAAATTATAGCCAGGCCACCAAGTGCAAACAATATATTGAAGAGAGGCAGCGGCAAAGGGCTGCTGAGAGACAGTCAAAGAATGAGACATGGCAGCCTCGGTTCTTCACGGACGCTGTTACTCCCTTGGGCAAACCAGAGTTGACTGAAGAAGGGCGCAAGGCTCTTGAGGGGCTCTATAATGGTGACTACAGCTTGGAAGAAAGCGAAACAAAAGGCGCATAGACTTACTACTCTTCTGGCTGTGACTGTAGATACATACATGAACTTGGCGTATAAGATGAGAGGCTACGAATTAGTCTTTGGCCTACCATTATAAATTATTTTTGGAACTTTCCTTTTTCCTGGTAATGTTCTAAGTCCGTACATTGTTCTCTTTCTCCATTGCGAATGGCATTGCGTTAGTGCTCCCAATATATTGAAACTTCTAAAAGCGCAGGGAAAAGACACGGGTTTGGCCGCATATGATAGATAAAGGATCTGGACGAATTTAAGACTAAAGAAACGAGGAATATGGGTTTAAAACGACGGAAGCATGTTCTCATGGGGGTGTTCATACATATGGCCAGAAAATCTTGTTCATTTGTCCCAACGAAGCCAGCGTGTGAAGTCTGAGCTTGGGTCGATATTGACCAGGAGATGAGTTATGACGAAAGCGAGCGAGCTTCTACCTACCTGTAAATGAACCAAAAAAAAAAAAAAAAATTCACAGATATGACCATTGTATAAGCTTGTATAGGTAGAATCAGCTGGAATTGCATTTGATCATTCATGGCCTAGGTCAACCGAAGATACCTTCAGCAAGGAGATAGGAAATAATAGATTACAACGACAATAGCCACCCAAACGGTAAAGAGAGATCAGATTAATCATAAACTCAATATACAGCTCACATAAGATCACCTATAGTTTCCTGAATGACTCATAACTGCCATATCCATATTCACCGTTGCGCCGCCACCTTAAAACTTCTAAGGAAACCAAGCGACAGGTTGAATGACATCGTTGACCTAGGTATTGGCAGCGACTACTTTATTAAACCCCGCACTCACTATCTTCGTTATCTCTTCATTTTTATGGGGCAGCAGCGACAAGGCGTAGGCTACATCATTCCATCGCCGCTCGGTCTCGCACCGTGGAAGTCGAGCAGCCAGCTTATCTGCCAGTTGCCGGGCATGTTTCTCCTACAAAGCCACCAACAAGATTAGAAGCCGTGCATGGGAAAGACAAGTATACCTGAAGTACTCACTTTTTCGATGAATCCGATCAGGAACCTGACAATACGCCTTAATGAAGCTTCTTCAAGGTTCCGCTCTGCACTCAAGAGACTGAACATATCAACGAAGTGATTGTACACTGCGTTATCCTTGCTAGCTAACTCCGTGAAGAACATGCGCGCTAAATCAGCAATTCTCTTGTCGTCATCTTCCAAGCACTTGGCCATCTCGCCTAATTGCCCCTTGACTTTGACCTGACCTGCCAAGATGAGAAAGGTTAGAGTCATGAGACATGTGCGCTTGACAGAGACATCATCATCATTGAGCCTGCGGTACAGGAAGTCTGTGTTCTCGTCAATAAGATGGTTGAAACACACTGCCATGTCACCAAGCGTAATTACTGCATTGCTACGAACGATTGGGTCTTCGGAACGTTCCATGACAGTGATTAAGAGGGGGAGGTTTTTCTCGCAGTACTCCGCAGAGACACACATTAATTTGGCCATACACAATGTTGCTGCTGCCTGAAGATTACGGTCAGGGTATGTGTTGCTGTTGGCGCAAATTTCTGTAACCAACGGGCCAAAGTTGGACAAGAGAGAGTTATCCCCATAGAGCAGTTCTCGCTCACGGATGTGTGCCATGGCATCTGTAAAGTCATCTTCCGTTGTTCCGCCGATGAGATCAAGCTCATCATCTTCGGTGGGGTCTTTGCTCATTTGAGCTGCTGCAGTGGATGCTTTGTTTTTCTCCTGTTCTGCTTTGCGGCGCTTGAAGTCGAGCTCGCACAACTCGAGGTGTACTATTTGCTTGATTGCAATATGTCCAACAACAAAAAGCAGTTGGGAGAGTACAGCGGATGAAGACTTTCTGGTGGTCGGGCTATCTGTCAAAGCTGTCCCGGGACGTCTCTCATCCCCATCACCAGGACCTTGTGAAAAAGAGCGTTGTGTTTGTGGCTGGAAGACAGACCTGGTCTTCCGCTTGAGGATATCAGAGCATAAAACATCTGGATGTTTAGATAGTGCGTATATGGCACTAATAGCTTGCTCTGCCACCCCATACCATTCTTTATTGTCGGACACGATCTCGACAATTGCCGCGAGTTGGGTAAGGATGGGGTGGTCATTAGTTAATTTGGGAATGCCAACTTCTTTGGACTTCGCCTGTCGGCCCGGCACCATCCGTCTCAAGGCAATGCACGTATATCTCGCAAGAACAAGGTCCGCCATTCCCAGACTCCCAAGACCAATTCGCAGCATTACCTCAATTTCCTTGATAACCACGTCGGGATCAGCTAGAGCAAGCATGCCAAGGACGATGATAGCGCCCCGGCGTTGGGTTTTCGAGATCTCCTTCCTTTGAACGCCATATACCTGCCACAACTTCGCGATGACGGC